AAATACCTGACCCTTTCCTTGTGCATACCAATTCCTCACTGTGAGTGGTAATCTTCAGTTCTGGCATATGAACTTTGGCTCTGTTCATCACTGTTTCTTATCATCAACATTCAAACAACTATCTGCCACCAGGACTGACAGTTCACAACAGGAGAGGGACTCCCCAGGCCTGCACAGGGAAGAGGGTCCTGAGCATTCAGAGTAGGGCTTGGGTAGAAAGGACTGGGGGCTTGGGCACATTTCCTTAAATCTACAGACTCTTTGTCCTTGAGGAGTTCCAGAGCAGACCAGATGCTAGGCTCTAAGATTGGCCTGGAAGCAGGAACATCAGATGTGTTCAGGTAAGTTTTTTATTTTCCCGTGGGGCAAGACCGCTTGCTCCTGCTGCCTGCACAGCATGTACGCATGCGCACAGGGTACATACGTGCTTGTGAGTGGGGAGGGGCCGCTCACCGGATGCCCAGTGTGGTCTGGATGAGAGTGGTGACACCCACACATGTGAAGATGGTGCCGATGAGCTGACTGACCATGTACTGGTCACGGCCCACACACAGAGCCTCGGCCAGGAGGAAGGGCACAGCGATAGTGCCGCTGAAGCATGTCAGGTAATGCTGAGGCGACAAAAGGAGTGGGTGAGGCAGGGCCTATAGAGCTCACATGGAACCGGGGGGAGCCTGGGCTACCCTACAGGTGTGCCCCCACACACTGACCTTCTCCACAAGGGATTCCCAGAAAGCCACTGGTCACCACTTTTGGGGTCACTAACCCCTGTCTGCCCCACCCCACCCTTTGATTCCTGTGGATGGGCCTTCCGTCTGTAACTGATGCTCCACAATCTTCTGTTCCTCTTCCCTGCCCTCTTCTGCCCTCCTCCCTGCGTGGTGGCAGTCTCTTGGCTGACCTTAGGTCTCTCTCTCTTGCCTGAGATGACCTTGTTCTCCAGGGGTGGGGTGGGAAACCCTGGGGCTTGTGGGCTGGGGGTGGGGAGGCCCACCTGGAAGCCGAGCAGAATGCACAGGTACCAAGGTGGCACATCCTCGATCTTGTACAACATGTCGGATTTAGGCTCCATGGACTGGGTCATCTTCGGGTCTCTAGCAGAAGTCTCTGCTGAGCCTGGGGACTCATTCTGGGGCAGGAGACAGCAGTTGATCAGGGGGAGTAATGAATAGGCAAAGTCCATGCTGGCCCCCCCCCCCCCAGGGTCGCTCATGGAGGCCAAGTGACCCGCCTGGGGTACCCACCCTGTGCCCCCAGTCCATCTGCCTGGTAGTTACTGGGCCTGGCAGCTCCTCAAATTGCTGCCTGCCAGGAAGAATACATTCTGCTCACCCCTGGAGTCCACAAGTCAGAGCATTCTAGCCAGGGACAAGCTCCTAAGTCAAAAGACCTGGGAAGCACCAGGGGAGGGGCAGAGAGGGATCCACACTTTGGATAAGCCCACTCTAGTCCCGCCCTCCCTTCAGTGGTCCCTGGGGGTGTCACTGGGGAGGAGACCAAGCTTCTACTGACTACCACCCTCCTCAGTGGGGTTCAAAGCTCCTTCACCCCCACCCATCCCTTAGTTGCCCCACTCAGCTCAGGACTCACGTTTTAGCAAGTTAATTACAAATTTTGACTCTTCCCTGCCAGAGAGGCCTGCATAGGCCCTCCAGTGTCCATCTGCCTGCCCCCAACCCAGCTCCCCCAGTCCCCCAGCACCTGTGTCTGGCCCTCGGAGTCTTCCTGAGTCCTCATCTGTGGGACACAGGTTTGAGAAGCTCCTGAGGGAGAAGAGAGGATGACTTTACAAAGGCCAGGAAGGACTTTACTCCATATATCAGACATTGTTCAAAGTAAATCTGTAACCAGGTCCCTAGTTGTGGATTGCGAAAGGGGGACACTGGCAGAGGTAAGGTATTAACTCCTAGCTATGGTGGTAAAGGCCATCCAAGTATCACAAAGACACATTTGCAAGAATTCCTTTCCCTGCCTGCAGCTAGCTGAGCCTGGCATAAGTCCTGTTCTTGTTTGCTTGGAGACAGCCAGTGTGGAGGAGGTGAGGAAGGGACAGTCTCAAATGTTTAACTCTGTGAAGTGAGTGGAAAGGGAGGGGGAATATGCACTGAGACTACCAACCACCTTCCACACAAAGCCCTTCCCTGTTTATTAACAAGTTAATCCTTATCATCACTGAAACCATTGTCTTACTGAGGAAGTATTAAGCGTCAAGTGATACACATGTTTGTATTCCCTGCCACTAGTAGTATTAACTCTTTTAGAGCTGAGGAAATAGAGTAATTTGACCAAAGCCATACAGGTTTCAAAAAAACAGACCTATGCCAGGTGCTGCTGGTTGCACACATCTGTAATCCTAGCTACTCAGGCGGCTAAGATCTGAGATTGTGATTTCCTGCCCAGGCAGGAAGTCCATGAGACCTTTATGAGCCTCTCATCTCCAATTAACCACCCAAAAGGCAGAAGTGGAGCTATGGCTCAAATGGTAGAGCACTGTCCTTGATCAAAATATCTCAAGGACGGTGCCCAGAAGCCCTAAGTTCAAGCCCCAGAATCAGCATTACCTTCCCTCCCCCTTCCCCCCCATTAAAAAGCCTAAATTCAGGCTGGTGGGGGCTGACCCACCCTACTACCCTTTTAACACACAGGATCCCCAAGGCAGCAACAGATAGGCCCTTGTGGCCTATACCCTTGCCAGGAAGAAGATTCAATTCCCTGCCAGCCAGGACTAGCTGTGGAGTCGGTAGGACCCAGCACAATTGAGGAAGTGACCCTTTTTCCAAAAGAATTATGTTTTTTTTTTCTTTTGGTACTAGTTTTGGAGCCAAAACTCAGGGGCCTAAGTGCTTTCCCTGAGCTGCTTTGGCCAAGGCTAATGCTCTACTACTGAGCCACAGCTCCATTTCTATTTTTGGTGATTCATGGGAGATAAGGCTTTCCTGTCTGGACTGGTTTGAAACCAGGATCCTCAGATCTCAGCCTTCTGAGTAGCTAGGATTACAGGCATGAGCTACCAGCACCCAAACCAAAAGTATTAAGAATTTTATAATGAGCCAGGAGCCCAAGCCCTGAGTTCAAGCCCCAGGACTAGTACATATACACACAAAAAAATTGTAATGGTAGGCTGAGAGAGAGATTCAAGTGTTAGAGCACCTGACTAACAAACACAAGGCCCTGAGTTCAAACCCCAGTACTGTACCTCCCCACTCCCTTCCTCCCCCGCCCCCCCGCACCCAAATAAAAGTTGAGAAGAGCAGGCATTGTGGCTTTTCTAAGGACAAGGCCCTGTGTGTCCACGTATCACATAGCTCAAAAAGCCAGGTGCCGGTGGCTCACGTCTGTAATCCTAGCTACTCAGGAGGCTGAGACCCCCAGGATCACGGTTCAAAGCTTTCCGGGCAGGAAAGTCCAGGAAACTTTTATCTCCAATAAACCACCAGAAAACCGGAAGTGGTGCTGTAGCTCAAGTGGTAAAATGCTAGCTTTGAGCTGAAGAGCTTAGGGACAGTGCTCAGGCCCAGAGTTCAAGCCCCACAACCTACCAAAAAAAAAAAAGCCAGGCCTGTGCCTTGGGCATCTCCTCTCTTAGCAGGACCAGCCTTAGCTGGACCCAACGCCTGAGAGCTGGTAGAGGGGGAAAGTGGGGACAAAGAGGTAGGGCACAGCTGGCGGAGGCTAGGACTGGGGTCGCCACCTGCTCCTCTGTGGGCTGCCCCAGCCACCCCAGGAACCACCTACTTCTGAGTTGCTGTGCCCATTGCCAGGGTGAGGCAAAGGCCAGGCCTAGGGCACAGGCAGCACTGCTCTCCAATAACTTCATGCCACAGCTCTGAGTTTGACTGTCCAAGCTCCAGCTCCTTCCTCTGTCCTCTTCTTTCCCTCTTGGCTCTGGCTCCCAAAGTTGCCTAACCTGTTGAGTCTCTTTGCCTTCCCACCCCTCAACTAGTGCTCTGCAGGGGGCAGTGAACACCCTTCCCCTCCCCCCAGTTCAATTCAACGCAATTCACCATACAATTCACATCAGACAATTCAGCCCAAATCTCACAGGCATGCAGGGCAGGTCTGGAAGTTGTCCATACCTGAATTACAAAGAAGTCCAAATGGGCCTATACTATCCAGACTTTGGTGCAGTCTACATAAGCACAGAATCACAAAACAGGTCCTTGTCCCAGGCACACACTTGTTCAAACCCACATCTTATACCCCTGAGAGCTCAGCCAGTTCCCTAGGCCCTGGCTTTCCTGGTGCCCAAGGTTCTCTTCTGGGGCAAGGACCAGGGAAGAAGGAAACAACGTAGATCATAGAGTAGGTGATGGTATGTGGAGGGCTAGGGCTCCAGGACAGCCCCCAGGGCCTGGGTGTGGGTCCCAGCCTACCTGGGATATTTCCCTTTCTCTAGCAGCCCGCCTTACCTTACCCTCAAAGTCTGAATCTCTTCCCAACCTTGCCAAACACTTCTGTGGGTCAGTGAGTCAGTGACACTTAAGGGAAACTATAAGTTGGAGCACTACCTGATCCCAGGTTCTCAGACCCAGGGGGGATGCAGAGATCCTTTCCCATGGGAAGGGCCCTGAGCTGGAGAATTTCTGGAGAGAGCTAAGATGCTCAGTTGGCTATTTCTGGGAACCTTGTCCTATCCTGTCCTGCACCACAGGGTCCTTTCATAACCCAGCCATACCAACTATGGGCAGAGACAAAGTGTAGCGAGAGTGAGGGCTGTTAGGGACAAAACAGGACAGACACATAGTGGGTAATAAGTAGATGCCTGAATGGCCACAAGGTGGCTGCATATGGTTCCTTGCTAATGGCTCTGAGGATCTGAGCTGTCTGTCCCTGAGCCAAGTGGCTTCATAGGCCCTTCAAATCTTGCTCACTGTTTCAACCATGCCAGTGCTCTTACATCTGGGAGTCCTCAGGTGTGGATGTAGCCCTCTGTAAGAGGGATATCAGCAGCAACCCTGATGTCTCTCTTCCCAGTCCCCCAAATATCATTTGCAAAGATGTTTCAAGGCCACTGGGTTTTATTTGAATCTAGAGGCTGCAGGCCTTGTCCCCTGTCAGACCTAGTGCCCTGGGGTGAGCAGGGAGGAGAGTAACTGCACTGAGTCAGACCTCCTGTTCTCAGGTGGGGTGGGGGAATGGTTTCCCAGTGCTGATAGGTACGTATAAGAAAGATCTTGGAGAGGCTTCAGGTTCTCCTTAGGGGCAGGAAGAATCATGGACTAGAGCTCTTCTCTTGAGACTGGTGCCTCCTCGATGCAGACCCCATGAGGACCTTCACACAGCAGTGCCTCCAGAGCCTCTTGGCCTTGTTGGTGTGTTTCGTAGATTAGGTCTTCTCCAAACTCTCCCAGGTAGTACAGGCATGTTTTGGAGAGCCTAGGGAAGCCCGCAGAGCCTCAGACTCTACCAGTCCATGGGAAAGTAAAGGGGCAAACCAAGGCTTCAAGGGCTCTGCCCCAGCCCCCCCCATCACACCCCCATCATCACCTGCTGGGCCAGGGCCCCCCGGTTACCACCACTCTGATTCTCGGTTGAGGCTCCTTGCCAAGTCCTGGGCCCATGAGACGTTTCACCTGGTTCACTTCTCGGACCCCATAGCTGATGGCAGTGGGTAGGATGCAAGAGTTATAGTATTGGTGGGAGTCTGGTCAGGGACTCCATAATGATCTTTCTACCAGCTATCTGCTCTCCCATTTGTTCCTAGCACCAGAGCCCAGACTTCATCATAGCCAGCTCTTCCCTTAAGCCATAGTCTTGTTTGTGCTGTGAAGTGGGAGGGTAGGAGGAGTCTGTCCCCACCGGCCCTGCCCCTGGAGGAGAGAGGCAGGGGCAACTCACTCTTGCCAGCTCTGGGAGCAACTCTGGTCCAGGACGTCCATGTAAACCGACTCAGTCAGCTCCAGCCGCCCCCTGGAGTCTGGAATATGAAGCTTGGCCTCTGCTTTTGCCAAATGTTGCCACATCTGGAATGAGGAGGGATTGGGAGCCAGGCTTTTGGGACTGCTGGCCAGTTGGAAGAAGGACGGGAGGACAGAAACTGAAGTATTTGGGGGGAATGAGGTAACTAGCAAGGGAGCAGGCCCCTTGCCCAGATCCTGAAAGCTGCTCTGTGCTGATGGAGGCAAGGCCGCCTACACTGGGGTGAGGGTGGAAATGCTAAGGTGAAAGGCTAGGCCTGGTTACTAAGGCTCTTCCTCCAGGGCACATGTCATTTATTTATTTGTTGTTTGTTATATGTGCCAGTCCTGGGGCTTAAACTCAGGGCTTGGTCACTGTTCCTGAGCTCTTTTTCTCAAGGCTAGTGCTTTATCACTTGAACCAGCTCCACTTCCAGCTGTTTTGATGGTTAACTGGAGATAAGAGTCAGGACTTTTCTGTGTGGGCTGGCTTCGAACTGTTATCCTCAGATCTCAGCCTCCCAAGTAGCTAGGATTACAAGTGTGCCACCAGCACCCAGTCTATACATGTTAGTTTAGACCACAAGAACAAGGAAAGGAAAAAAAAAGAAAGAGGAAGGAAGAAAACAAGAAAGAACAACACCAAAGCCCAGTGTTCAGTGACACATATACTTGCAGTTTCCCTCACCCCCACACGTGACCTAGGCACAGAAGCCTGCTCATCCTGAGAGGGCCCTGAGACATTCACACACTCAGACACGCATACACACATGCCTCCCCCCGGCCGCCGGTGTGGGCACCAGGTACACACATATGATGTTATCTTGTGGGCTTGGGGAGGGAGTCCAAACCTAAGAGTGGGCAAAGACAGTGAAAAGCTTAAGGACTCAAGAGAGTGATCCCCTGGGGTCTCAAAGTACTACAGGGGTATTGTGAATTGTCTGCTCTCTGTTGGGCAGCAGATATGTGAACTAAGGGATGGTGGTGCATGTAGGATGGCACTATCATGGAAGGCTGAGTGCCAGGGGCAGGGGAGGGGGGGCCGTAGGGGCCTGAGGATCAAAGGCCAGGGGTGGAATCTGAGGTAGAGGTGGGTCTGACTTAGGAGGGGTCTTGATAGGAGTAGGGGGGATTCTGGGGAGAAGAACTCACCTGGTAGGCCACAGCCCTACAGGCATCACACTGCATGTGAACAGGCATGTGGGCTGAGTACTTCTCCTCCTCATCTAACTGTGGGGCAGTAGCTGAAAGTGAGGCACTGGATCCAAGGGTCCCTGGGATAGCCCAGGCACCCAACAGCAGCAACAGTGGCAGTGGCAGCTTCATGGTCTCTGGAGTCGGCTCAGCGAGCGTGGGCTGTGGTTGGGGCACATAAGTGCAGGTGCACTTGTGCACTGTGGTGGCCCAGACCAATGGGGAACCGACACCTCACCCCTCTTGTCCTTCTCTTCCGCCCTCCTCCCTAGAGATGCCACGTGTGCATGCTGCACTCTACAGGATCCAGCCAGCTTGGCTCCATTGCATAGACAGGAAACAACGAGGCAAGGAGAGTTGTTAGAGCTGGGCAAGGACTCATGGGGGCCGATGGCTCTCACGTGCTATGAACAGGCCAAGCGGCAGGTACTAAGCTGAGTACATTATGGAGGAAGGTGTCTGGTCACAACGTCATCTTTATTCTGATGGTGAGGACAGGGAGGCTCAGAGAAAAGTGACAAGTACTCTAGATAAAGGAGCTATGCTAAAATTGGAAACTAAGTCCCATTGGTCACTCAGATACCAGCCACAAGTGTGGCTGCTAGCTTAGGGCATCCTCCCTGGAAGACAAATTTGCTAAAGTGGGACAGGGGCACAGTGTATGAAAGCACACACACTCTCTAACCCTGGAGTCCCCTCTGCCCAGGTCTTGAAGGCATGAGGAGGGAGTCTGTCAAGAGATAGCAGCAGCACTGGACATTGATGGTAACTAGCTACTCAAGAGGCTGAGATCTGTGGACTGGGACTGAGGTTCAAAGCCAGCCCAGGCAGAAAAGTGCATGAGACTCTTATCTCTTATTAACTACCACCAAAAAGCCAGAAGTAGGGGCTGGGAAGGTGGCTCAGTGGTTGCCTTGCATGCATGAGGCCCTGGGTTCGATTCCTCAGCACTACATAACCAAACAGAAAAAAGCCGGAAGTGGCGCTGTGGCTCAAGTGGTAGAGCTAGCCTTGAGCTGAAGAGCTGAGGGACAGCGCCCAGGCCCAGAGTTCAGGCCCCATGACCGGACCAAAAAAAAAATTTAAAAAAAAAAGCCAGAACTAGAGCTATGTCTCAAGTAGTAGAGTAGAAAAAGCTAAGGGACAGTACTTAGGCTCTGAGTTCATGCCCTAGTACCAGTACCAGTACATACACACACAACACACACACGTGCACACACACGAGGCGGCAGGAAATTAGGCACCTAAGAGCAGTCATCATTTCAGCCATGATGGCTCCATGGTCAGCCATTTATTGCACACTAGGATGAGGTGAAGCACCCAAAGGCATGCCATCGGGATCAGTGTCTCTGACCAAGAGATGTTAAGACTACAGTATTCCCTATATTCCAGAAGACTCATGGTTTATCTAGTCAGCTTCTAGTCCAGGGCAAGGGGGCAAAGACTCCAAGGGATCTGGACCCCTAAGGGCTTGGAATAAGGAAAACATTGATCTCCATCCCTGTCACTGCTTCTGACACTGTCCTTCCTAAAACTCACAATGTTACAGCTTAGCCCAGAAAGGTCTAATTCAGGCTCAGAGCTATACAGACAGCTATACCCCCCCCCCCCCCCCATGAAGGCCACCTCCTACAGATTTCCCCCTATGTTCCCTCAGCCTTTCTCAGAGGCTCTGGGCAGCACAAGTTCTGAGTCCTTCCTGTGTTGTGACTTATAAGGTCAGCGTTTCTGGGACATTGTTGTCACATCTGTTCCTGGGGTAGTGAGCTAGAGCCTTGGGGCCCATCAGCTTGCACTATACCCTGTATTCCTCTTGCTGCCAACTCTAACTTAGTTTCAGGTCCCCAGAGGAATAAGAGGGTTCTCCTGGGACAATAACCCAACCATTCTCCCTGTTGACTCGTTTCACCTGCCCCCTACCTATGTAAGAATGCTGAAGTCCCCATTCTCAAAATGAGCCAACACAGCTCTGCTGGCTGAGAGGAGAAGCAAGTCAAAGACTGGCCTGAAGTGAAGAAAGAGGAGGCAGGCTCCCCACGGGGACCACCACCACCTAGCCACCTCACTCCAGTCTTCTTCCACTTCCAGTCTGGTTATCCATAGCCCCTCCTCCACCTGCTGTTCCTTCAGTTCCCTTTCTGAAACTCAACCTGGCCTGAGACCAGCACTGACTGCTTTCACCCAGAGTAAACCTGTAATCCCAGCACCTGGGAGACTGAGACAGAAGGATCAAAACCTTCAGGCCAGGTGTCCATGGATCCTACCTGTAATCCTAGTTACTCACGAGGCTGAGATCTGAGGATTGTAGTTTGAGGCCAGCCAGAGTAGGAAAAGCTCAAGAGACTCTTATCTCCAGTTAACCACAAGAGGCTAGAAGTGGAGCTGTGGTTCAACTAGTAGAGAAATAGTCTTGGGCAAAAGAGCTCAGGGACAGCACGCAGGCCTGTAGTTCAAGTCCCAGTACTGGCACACACACATATACACACACAATTTTAGGCCAGTTTGAGCCATATAATGAGAGCCTGTCCCAAACAAAACAAAAACTTTGATAGCCAGAGTCCTTCCCCTCTATCTCCACTTTCAATACCTTCCACTCTCCTGTCCTGTGTCACATCAACTGCGCTCAGTGTCAGGCAGGAGCAGATATCTTCCCTGCTGCCCGCGGGAAATTCTATCAGCTCCACCAGCTGCTCCTCACTTTTACCTATTCTCTTGCCTGTATACACACATACACAAACACACTACACCGGGGGATGCCTGGGATGGGGATCTGCAATGTTGCTGAGGGGAGGAAGTCATCAGTCATTTCCTGAGCTCCAGCTCCACCAGCCGGGAAATCTCAGATACCTTCTTCAAAGGACCCTCCCTGTGACAGATCAAACAGTTAATAGAAAAGAAGGCTAGGGGATTGTAAGCTCCTGCCGTTTGGGAACCGGACTCCTTGGGGGGATTGGGTCCTGGGGGCCTCACAATGGGAACGCAGAGCCCTTGCTGGGCTGGACTAGACCTGAGCTGGGGGGCGGGGCACAGAGAAGCAGGGGTGGGGCGGGACTGGGGGTTCCGCTCACGGGCAGGTAGTACATCCCGTCCAGGGGCCCTGCCTCAGAGGCCCAGGGCAGCTGGGGACTGCCAAGGGCCGGTGGGTTAGGGGACGGCGGCAGGGAAAGGCCAGAGACAGGCCCATAGGCGGGTGGGTAGAGGCCGGGCCCCAGGGCCAGCGGGGTGTACACGTGTCGGGGTGGCCCGGGGGAAGAGGGCGGCAGCAGCACCTCTACGTACTGCCCGCTTTCGGGGTCGAAGAGCAGCCGTAGTCTGTGCGGCCGTGGCGCCTCCACGAAGTAGTAGCGGCCGCTCTCGGGGTCCACGAGGACCTTCCCTGGGGGTGCGGCTCCGGGCGGCCTCCGCACCCCCTGGGAGGGGCCTTGCGGGATCCCATCCGTGGGGGGCGCGGAGGCAGCTCGGCGCTGCGGCTGGGGTGGGGTGGGCCTGCTGGCCGACACCTGGGGCTCGGGGGCCACAGGAGATGTCTCCACTTTGGGTGCGATCCCAGGGCTCAAATTGGGGCGCGCCTGTGGGGAGCCGGGGCTGGGTAATCGGGTCCCGACTGTCCCTACGGGGGGCCGCTTGGGTAGGGTGCGAGCGCCCTCTAGGGGGCTGGTCCGACCCTCGCCGTCCAGGACGAGACGCTGCGCGCCGGCTTCGGGCTTCTCTTGGCTAGTACCTCGAACTTGGATTCCCGGGGTTCTCTCAAGACGTTGGCCCAAGGTAAGGGCGCCAGGCAAACGGATCTCCGTGCGCGCAAAGGGTTTGGCGGTGCTGTTCTCTGCCCTCCGCCGTGGGAGCCCGTTAGGCTGCGGGGCGTCCGGGGGTGCTGTGTGGAGGGATTGCTCTGAGGACTCGTAGGGGTGCGGCACGACGGGTAGAAAATCCTTGAGAAAAATAGAAGTGTAGTGAGCTGGGGCGGGGGACCCCAGCGCCGGAGGCTCTTGCGCCTTGGATGAGACGCCCTCTTCTCCGCAAGGCTGTGCGGGAGGCTTGGGCAGCCCGGAGCCGGGGCTTCCCGCGGGAAAGCTTGGCGCGTAAGTGTTCTTCACGATCTTGCGCACGTCTCGCGGCCGCGGAATAGCCACGCGCGGGCGTCCCGAAGCTGCTTCTCCCGAGCGCAGGGCCTCTGGGCGCTCATGGTCGTCCAGGATGTTTACGAGATGACCACGGGGCGGCTCAAGCGCTTCTACCTCTGGCGATGGCTGACTGCCTCGGAAGGCAAGATCTAGAATCTCCCGAGTGGGCGAGCTCTGCACCTCTATTTCTTCTGGAGTGCCGGGCGACGAGGGTGTAGGTGACGCCAACTCTGCAGCCATGCCGTTCATAGCTTCCCGCGTAAATGCTGTGGATGAGCCCTGCTCCACGGGACCTCCTGTCTCCTGGGACGAACGGCTCCGCGTCTCCACGGGACCATCTGGTGCCTCCCAGGGGAACGAGGCTAGAGGAGACTGGCCCCTACCCCGCCCTCCACCCTCCCGGACGTCCGGATGCGGAGCTTCCCAGGGGGAAAGAGCTTCGGGGGATGGGCTCCTTGCCCTCGCAGCAGCCTGAGTCCGCGGGGAAAGAGTTGGAGGGGAAGGGCTTCTCCTGCTGACAGTTTTCTCACCTTTGGCATTCCGCTTTCCCCACGCAGAAGATGCTTCAGGAAAAGACGGGTTAGTCACCCTCCAAACAGTCCGACCGCACTGGGGCAGGTTCTGGGGAGATGGGCAGGGAGGATCCCGCAGGGCCCCATTTGGAGATTGCCACAGCGGCGGGGACGGGGACGGGCTCCTGGGTCTCACAGCCCTACTCTGATCCTCCCACAGGGCCCTAGACTGCAACGGTGGATTCGGTGCCCTTGTGACAATTCGATCCGGAGCCTCTCCAGGGAACCGAGTCTTGGGTTCTTGATTGTGTACCTCCTGAATCTTCTCCTCAGTCTGTAGGAAGATGCTGGAACTAACAGGACCCAGTGGCTCGGTCCCGGGCGTGGGCTTGTCGCGCCGAATCGCGCGTTCTCGGAGGCTGGGCCAAGGCCGTGGGGCTCTGGCGGGGGCCGAACTATTTTGTGCACGGGACGGCCGAGATCTCCCCTCTTCCAGGACCACGCGGGAGCCACGAGATGTTTCCTGCGTCTTAGGTTC